GGAGATCATATGTGCAAAAGTGAGAAGAAGCAGGAAAAAGGGATAAGAATCAGAAATGGGTTGTTTAACATGAGCCTGAACTCTCTTTCCTTCTCTTTTGCTTATGCGATGCCTTAGTTTAGTTAGTTTATTGTCATTTGAGAATGTTTTAAGGCAGCGGGAGCTATAAAGCTCTTCCAAAGAGGGGAGAGGGCAACCAATGATCCTCTGGCAATGATGTCCTATCTGCTACTGTGCAATTGGCAAAACATACAGAGGTGCAGTAAGTTAAAATACTCTCTATGGTGCAGCGATAGAAGGTCATTTAGTTTTTAGTAATACCGGTAGTTTGTCCCGGACTTATGACCACAATTGGAGTCTTGGTCGTTGAGCAAAGTCATCATTAAGTAAGATGTCATGTGAGAGCTTGGCTCAATGGCTGCAATGCTGTACTCCTGACTGTGGTTGTTAAGCGATTTCACGTGTCGTTAAGCAGACAAATGTCCCAGGTAAGGAATGTGGGGCTGTCTGAAGTGAGCAGGAGAGGACTTGTGATTCCCAGGCACAGGCCGCATTCGACATAAGGGGTCCTGGAGGAGCTTAGAGATGCTTTGGGACACGTTGCCTGGAAACGGTACAGAACATGCAGCTTCGAAAATGGCGCTAGGCTGCAAAGGCCTCCGTTCTAGGAATTAAGGCCGCATTTCTCAGTGGTCACAGTGACACTGGGGTGAAGCCCAAGCCTGGGGACAATGGCAGATGGCTGAGAGTGCTGAAGGCCTCAGGCCTCCACTTAGGGCCCAGCTCAGCATTGCTGTCAGTCAGGGCTGCTTTGCATGGACGGCCTCAGGCTTCCAGGGGTGGCAGCAACTGTGCACCCCACTTTAGTGGGTGGCTACCCAATTTATGGATGGCCTGTGCCTGTCTTCTCCCCTCCCTAGATGCCCCATGACCATTGCCTGCACCTCCCCCCACGTAAGGACCTCCAAGTTCACTTCATGATTGCAACCCGAAGTGTGGTTGTGGAGTGAAATGCTCCCGTGACCCCTTCCCTAACCACTGTGTCAGGGTTCCCAATAATGAACCCAAACGATTCAGCGATCTGAGACTTTCCGCAAAGAACGGCTTTATGGAGTACATCATTTTTTTATTTATTTTATGTATTTATTTTGTCAAATGCTTACAATATAATAGAAATAAGAATAAACATGTTTAAGTATAAGAAATAGGAACTAATAACTGGGGACAATAGGACAGGGATGGTAGGCACGACTGTGAGCTTATGCACGCCCCTTACAGACCTCTTAGGAATGGGGTGAGGTCAAATAGAGGTTTGTTTGAGGGTAAAGGAGTAGCGGTTTGAGCAGGTGACAACAGGTAGTGAGTGCCAGAGATTGACCATTCTGTTGTTGAAATTGTACTTCCTGCAATCAAGTTTGGAGTGGTTTACATTAAGTTTATATCTGTTGTGTGCTCTTGTGTTGTTGTGATTAAAGTTGAAATATTCATTAACTGGTAAGACATTGTAACATATGATTTTATGTATTATGCTTAAATCCAATCTTAGTCGGCATAGTTCAAGGTTGTCTAAGCCTAGAATCTCAAGTCTGGTGGTGTAGGGTATTCTGTTGCGAACACAGGAATGTAGTACTCTTCTGGTAAAATACTTCTGGACTCTGATATACAGTGGGGATTCCAGACACCAGAGCTGTATTCAAGTATTGGTCTAGCAAAGGTTTTGAACGCCCTAGTTTGCAAATCAGTATTACCAGAGGAGAAACTTCATAAAATGAGATTAACAACTCATAAAGCCTTTTTGGCAATATTATTGCAGTGATTTCATTATGGCACGGATGGACTTAAAACCAGCTCTAGCTGTTTCCCGTGCTTTCAGCATAATTTAAATGTTAGAGATTCCCCCCTTTTCCCTAGGGTCACAGATCACATTGCCCCATTAGGTGCTCTGGCATCTTCTTGGCAACAAGTTCCAGTCTCTGGCCGGCACCTGCTAGCAATGACCTTGGTTCCCACGAGATAGCAGGTTGTTTTGGCTAGATCGATTTCCATTCTTCTCCCCCCTCCCCAAGCTGTGCGGCAACTACAGAAACGGAAGATATGTGAGGCAGGCTCGATCCGTTTCAGAGTTGACACACTGCTTGACTAAATGACCAAGGTTGCAGTCCCAACCATGGTCAAACGTTGAGGACATCTCTCTTACAGATATAGGGCCTCCATCACTTTGCCTCAGGTGTACTGAGCACCCTACCCTGGGCAGAGAGTCAGACTGGAAGACCCTCAAGGTCCCTGCCAAGGATAAGATTTTATGATTCTCTACGTGTCTGAAAGGGAAATATAATTCTTCCCTTCTTTTTCCTTTAACAGCACATAAAAGATTGTGACCAAAGATTTACCTGGAAGACAACTATTAACAGATAATAGAAAATTAACACATGGCAGCAGCCAAGGGAAAGCATGGAGGGTGGTAAGCACTTGGATCCTCCATTAGACAAAAGCAGCACTCCAAGAAACCACCAAAAAACGCATGAATGCTCAGAGTGTGGGAAATCTTTTGCTTGCAGGTCCCTCCTTTTGACCCACAGGAAGGTCCATGTGGGAAGTGGATCCACTGAAGGTTTGGAGGTTGAGAAATCCAACTCTGGAAATGAAGGTCTCAGCTCTTCCAGACTAAAACCCTATAAATGTGAGGATTGTGACTTACGCTTTGGTCAAAAGTCAGACCTTCTTACACATCAGAAAATCCACACTGGAGAGAAACCTTATCAATGTCTGGAATGCGGGAAATTTTTCCGTGAAAAAGCCCATCTCAGAAACCACGAGAAAATCCACACAGGGAAGAAACCTTACAACTGTTGGGAATGCGGGAAGAGCTTTTCTCAGATCTCAGGTCTTTGGCACCATGAGAAGATTCATGCTGGGATCAAATCTTACAAATGCTACGAGTGTGGAAAATGTTTCACCGATAGTCCATCTCTTCGGAAACATGAGAAAACACACACAGGAGAGAAAAATGAAAAATGCCTCAAATGTGGGAAATGTTTTATTCTGAAATCAACTCTGTGGCTACACCAGAGACGTCACACTGGAGAGAGACCCTATCAATGCTCAGAATGTGGGATCCGGTTTATGCATTCTTCTGAACTTAAGAGACACCAGATGAGGCACAAAGAGGAGAAACCCTATCAATGTGGG